CCCCCCCAAGCCACCGCTTTTCAGCTCCCCCCGCCTCTCCCTTTGCTCCCCTGCCCAGCCCCTCGCCATCTGTGCTCCCCCCTTTACACCCCTTCCTTCTCTCCTCACCCGCTTTGCTCCCCCCGGCCCAGCTCCTGCATTTCTTTGCCCCGCGTTGCCTTCCTGGCGTGGGGCCTCCCTGAGCCGTCACCTCGGTCCCTGCACGAGCCAAGAGGACCAAGAGAGCAGAAGCCCCCCGAGCTCCTCCCGTGCAGCTCTTGGCCCCGCTGCTCCCCCACTTCTGGGTGCCTCCGGCCGGCGGGATTCGGCCCACACCTTCCCTGCTCCTCCTTCCCCGATGCCAAGGGAAGAGAGCGGGGTGGCTCTGCGCAGGGTTCCATCGTTGTTAGGGGCTGGAAGGGACACAGGAGAGGGGGGAGTCGGTACATAGGAGCGATGCCGCCGCGGCCCCAAAATGATGCGAGAGGCCAGGGTTACTCTGGGTGCATAGTTGTTAGGGCCTGGAAGGGACCGTGCTTGAACGTGGAGGGGGGAATCGGTACGTGCAGAGCGACGCCACCATGCCCCCAAAACGATGCGAGAAGCAAGGACCGCTTTGGGTGATCCCACGGTGTCGTTGGCAGAAAGCTGGACGAGCTTTTGAACGTGAGACGTTATCTGTGCTCCTACATCCCCGCCCGCTGGCAGCTCGGGATTCAGCCTGATGCAACCCCGTGGGCAGACGCAGGATGTTGAAAAGAGGGGTGCAGATGGCGTGGGGCATCATCGCATACAAGAGGACGCCTATTTTCCTCCAGTTCAAAAGAAGCTAGAAGCTTTACAAATACGTTAAGGGTCTCGTGCTGATTCAGTTTAAGACTGAAGCAAACATGGATAAACTGTATTGGAACAGGTTTTCTTTTGCTCTGTCGTGTACTGCCTATAAAACACACAACCAATTTGGCGAAAATTATGGGACGCGGGCGCTTCTTTTGTCCTGCGATCACTGCAATGACAAGTTATGTCCTAGGGAAGCAGGGCTGGAGGGCCATCTAGTCCCACCCCCCGGAGGCTGGATCCTCCGTCTCCAAACCACCCCCTACAATCCCGAATCTGAACGGTACGCAAGATGCCGGCAACGCTGACGCCACACAAACCCTGCACCCAAACCTGCCACGGGTCGAGCAGGGGAACCGTGGCGGCCGACGTCCTGCTTCGACAAAACACAAGTTCCCTTCGGGCTTGGGCTCCCCCTGGAAGTGGCAGGGGGCTTTCTCGTCTGCGGCGGAGATGCTGAGAGACGAGATTTGGAAAGGGAAGAAGCAGGGAGGCAGTGGGGAACCGCGGGGGCCTTCCAGGTCACGAGAGGCACAAGGCAAGACGAGGCCAGCGGTCGAGGAGCTGAGTGCGGGGGGAAGTAATAGGAGGAAACGCCCCTGCTACAGGCTCCGGTGGCATATAAGGGCTGTGAACGTCATGGAGAAAACACCCCCCTCCGTGGAGAGGATGCCCCCCCGGGGCAGCTCAGTTCCCCATGGGAACAGCACAGGGCCTGCAGCTGAGCAAGGCTGCCTGGACTCAGACCACCCCATGGGTGCAAGGGCCAAGGCCAGTGCAAAGCCACCTCGGCTGCCCTTTCTCCTGGCTGTGAAGTCCTCCTTACCTCCTGTCCATGGTGCAGCACAGGGGCCAGGAGCTGGGCTGGGGGAAACGTGGGGGATGAGGGGGAAAGAGGGCAAGGCTCCAAGGCAAAGAAGGGGGAGAAGAAAAGTTCCCCCTCGCTGCAGAAGGCAGGGCACGAGGCAGTGGGTTGACACCAAACCTGCTCCCTGTCAGATCAGGGGGTGGTGGAAGAAGCTTCCCAGGGAAGTGGTGCAATCCCCTTCCCTGGAGGTTTCCAAGCAGAGGCAGGACCAGCGTCTCTCTCGGTTGGGGTAGGAACAGCAACTCCCAGCTCTGTGCAGGGGGCTGGGCTAGACAAGCCTTGAGCTCCCTTCCAACCTTACGATCCTACCTCTCCACAGTGCTGCCACCACCACTGCTGGTAGAGTTGATGGGCGCGTCTCTGCGAGGAGCCGAGCCGCGTACGGATCTGAAAGCCCACAGCACGCACGCAGTCAGGTCCTATGATGAACGGTGCCAGGCCATTGCACTGACGCCTTCTCTGCCCACCCCAGCCTGGAGCAACTATGCCTGCTGTCCGGTCTTCCTAGGGCCGGACCAGCCACGCTGAGCTGACCGCTGCTCCCACGTGCAGCCAAGGGGGCTGGGATGATTGCTGTCGGGGATCGGCTCACTAGCCCACCCGCCTGAGTCTCCCTACCTCCCCACACAAACGAGCTGGGACACTGCATCCCTCCTCGAGGCCAGCTTCTCTGCCTCTGCAAACAGCCAAGCTATGGTGAAACCCTTTGGTCAGAGGACAATATTTCCACCGGACAAAACTGCAGAGCCTTGTGCTGCGCATGCCTTTGTACAGCTATGAGGCATGTTTCGGCGGGAGCTGCCCACCCCTTCTTATCACGGCCATTTCGGGGACAGGATCGTAACCAGACTTCCTGCCTGCTGGCACGCTCGGTGCCCGGGTGCCTGGGTGGTAGTGGCAGTCTACAGGGCGATACAGCAAACCAAGTCCCCCCTCGAGCCGTGGGGAGCAGCAGCGAGGGAGCAGGAGGTTGGTTAAGCCCATCCCCTCTGCGTTGCCACAGGGGGAGAGCTGTGAGCATGGGCAGCCCCGGTCATTCATCTCCCCGGGAGCTGCATTGCTCGGGCATGGGAGAGAGGGGCCAGGACGCCAGGCCCCGCACAGATGCCCAGAGGGTTTGCTGGGGGGCATAGAGGGATGAGCCGCTCTGTGCATATCTTCCCGCACTGAGCTCCCTGCAGATCCACCTCCCCCGCGATTCCTTCCCACCTGCCACAGAGGAGCGTAAGGACCCTGCGCCCTTGACCCTGCCGTAACAGGATCCCAGCCTGGTTGCGCTGGCAGCTGCTTTGTTTGCTCAGCCCTCCATCTCCCCTGCTCAGCTCACAGACATTCCCCTTGGCTTAGCTGCCCCAGCATGCAAAGCCACCAGTCAAGCAGGTGTCCTTTGTACCAGCTGCATCCCCCACCGCATCTAAGGCTGGGCCTTGGCAGTGCTAGGTGCTGTACATACCTGTGGCCGGACACAGTTCTGGCTCCAAGCTCAGCTTTGTCCTCATCCTTCCAGCTCCTAGAGGACAGCTGCAGGCCTGCGTTTGGTGGCCCTACCACCCTGGCTTGGGCTGTGCGGTGGGTACCACGTGTTACTTGGAAAGATGCTTGGGCAGGCAGAGGCGATGTTCTTCATTCCCAGAACACTTACATGCCCCTAGTGCAGGGGCTGCGTGAAGACGGCCCAGGTGACAAGCCTGGGCAGAGGCCAGGTGGCTGCCCATCACACTGTTCCCTCCGACTTTGATGCTATCTGTGTGTTTAAGCTGGTTTTGAGGATAGCAGCTCTGCAAAGGTCTCTTTCCAAATCTGGGTGTGCTGTGCCCTCTACCGGACACAGGGAAGAATGATCCCGTGCTAACAGGCCACTCCACTCCTTCCTCCCAGCCCAGGGATCATTTTGGTGGGCAGAGACTGTTTTTTCAGGGTCGCTTACCCACGGCTTCTTGCAAAGTCAGAGATTATTGTAACACGCACGTTGATGCCAGCAGGCAGGCGTGTGGTGAGTGGGTGTCAGGACTCCTGGGTCGTACTGCTGGGTCTGCAACTCGGACACTGAGACGTTGGAAACTGCATTCCTTCAGTCGCTCTCCTGCCTAAAAACAACTCCCTTGTTTCATGGACTCTCAGACTTGACTAGCTGTAGGCCCCTAATCTCCTTGCTTTGTCACAACTGAATAGATAAAGCGGTTTATGCTGAGCAAGGCGATCAGAGCAGTGACCGTCCTTCTCACTTTCTCCTTCCCTCTCCTGTATGGTGGAAGCCTCTTCTGGGAGAAGTTCACTATGAAGATTTTGCTTCTCAAAACCTGCAAACAACCCAGCTGCGGGTTCTGTGATTTAGTTTCACATTAACTAGTCAAAGGCATCAGGGGAGAAAACTCCATGGAAAGTCAGGCCTGCTGGAAAGGGCTACGGTGCTCGTTCATCTCTCTAGATTGCTTCTAATCAATCACTGCCTCTCCAGGAGCCAGGCAATCATGTCCCGTGCTGCCTATAGACTCCTTGACGCCTTCCAAAGAGGGCTTGTGCTGACACTTCCTTGGGAGCCAATGATCCAGCTTAGCCAGGCAAGTTCCCAGGGCAAGTGATGAGAGCAGCCTGCTCGAGTGC